TAATTAATATAAACTCTTAGTTTCTTATTGGTAATATTTTATTTGTTAGGTTTACGGAGTCTATATAGGAAAAACAATCCATCAAATAGAAGTGGGGTTGGAGTAACCCTGAATTGTACACAGTTTTAAAATAAACTCTTTTGTGACCAATTAATCTTATTCCCATGAAACTGGGCTAAGTGGGTAGATACTTCAAAAATAGATTAATAGAGAAAATTTGTTTGATGGCGTGTTCCATTTTCCTAAAACAGGAGCTATTTTGAACTACTAGGTCATGAAGTAGTAACCTATCCTGTGCTTCAACAGATGGCACAATTGAAGGAAGGCCAAGCTCTTTGTTGTAACTGACACACAACTGGACTTAGATGAGCCTGAAATCTATAGGAAATAGATGCAATGACTTCTCTTTTTGTTATACTAATACTATTATTAGTATTATTATATCTCTGAATGATTAGTTTCCATTCAGAAGTAATTGGCTCTAAGCCTATTATTTTGGACCACCATGAATTCAGTTTTCTAAGATGGGAACTTGGTCTTTTTTGCCCCCCTTCCTAAATTAGGTACATCAGGCATTTATCTGTTCTGCCCTGCAAGTTTTTAAATAAGTGTTCTGGAAAAACAAGCAGATATACAAAGTCTGGTGAGTGATAAGAAGGTAGCAGCTTTTGAAATCGATAACAGTGGGAAAACATTATATACTAGAGGCCCGGTGCACAAATTCATGCACTGGAGGGGTCCCTGGGCCTGGCCTGTGGAATCGGGTCAAAACCAGCTCTTCGACATCCCCCAAGGGGTCCCGGTTTGTGAGAGGGCGGTTCTTGAGTGATGCACCCCGGAATTGGGCTCCCTCCTCTCTGGTTTCGGGTGCGTCACCCAAGAACTGCAGCTGCCAAGTCACCACAGCTCGGCAGTTCCTGGGTTGAGCATCTGTCCCCTGGTGGTCAGTGCACATCATAGCTACTGGTTGGACGGTCAGATGGTCACTTAGGCTTTTATATATATAGATTATGTGTAACAGGATATTGTAAAAATTAAGTTATGAAATGTTTATTAAAATGTTTCTTACATACCATTATATTGGCTGGAACGCAAAAAAAATATCCGTTGTAGGCCACATGTGGCCTGCAGGCCACGAATTTGATGTGCTTGCTCCAGACCCTGCGCCCAGCCTGCTGCCCAGCAGCCCTCCCCTGCCCCTGGCCTGCCCCTCCCAGACCTCCAGGCTTGGCCTCTTCCATGGCATTCCGCCTGCCAGATATGCTCTTCCCTTTGGGTTTCCCGTGTCTGGCTTGTTCTTGTCACTCAGATCTCAGGGCAATGTCAGCTCCTGGAGAGGCCTCCCCCATCACCTTTCTGACAAACCAGGTCCATCCCGGGCCTCATCGTCAGAGCCCTCGTCGTGGTCTCAAGCTGCTGGTGCTGCTCTGTTTATGTGACAGCTCACTACGCGTGGGAAGGCAGGGTGGGCTCCCAGAACTGGCAATGGGGCACAGCAGGTACAGTTGGTAGGTGGGAGCGCCACTCAGCTGGGTCTCAGATGCCCACTTGTGAGGACCTGAGTGGCTGCAGGCTATCTGAGGTGCGGAGCAGGCCCTGGATTGAGCTGGCCTGCCCACTGCAGGCTCCAGCTGGTGTCGGTCTGCCTGTGGCCCCAGCACTAGGGTAGCAGGGCTCTGCTCTGAGAGCAGGGGCCCCCCTGCAGGAGACAACCAGCAGGGCGCCTGAGTGCCTGGCCTCCATGGGCAGTGGGAGCCCCTGAGGTGTGGGCACGTGTGCACTGTAGCCGCAGCATCGCCAGGACCCCCCACAGGGGTGTGTCCTTAGGTCAGCACTGCCGTGGGCACACTGAGCTGGGAGAGAGCTTGTCCTGGCTGTGTAAGTAATGATGACACCAACAGCCAGTCCCGCGGGCCTCCCTGTGCCTGCGTCGCAGAGGCCCTGGACATATATTTGCTCTTTTAATCTCCACACCAACACAGTAATATCAGTGCCATTATGATTCCCTCTTACAGATGAGGAAACTGAGGACAGAGCTGAGAATAGCCCGCCTAGGACACGTAGCATAGAAGTGGCAGAATTGGGACTGGAACAGGCTTGACAAAGCCTTTCACAAACGTCTACTGCGCCTTAGCACGAGGGGGTTCAGACCAGGCAGCAGGCCTGCGGCCCAGAAGCCTGGCTCTGAGGGTGGTTACCAATGAGCGCGTCGTGACCACAAGTCACATGGCTGAGGCTCTCTTTAAAACGCTGGCCCAGCGGAGAGCTTGTGACCAGCTCCTGCCACCCTTAGGGCCACACCTGTATTTAAAGTCCTTCACCACTTTGCAGGGGAAAGCTGACCTCACACGCTCAGGGCCGGAGCTGAGGGCTGCGGAGCACTGTGCAGGGAGCACCGCACAGCAAGGAGGCTCTGGGCACTCATCCCGCCCGCCCAGGGCAGGCTCAAGAGTCGCTAATTGACAGTGGGCGGGACCCGGCCAGCAGTCCCTGGACATGGTGGCTGTGACAAGATCCCGCGTGGGACCTGAGAGCTCCCCCTGGGAAGAGGAGCTGTCAGCACTGGTCACTGCCCGGCGAGGGGGCCGCAGTGTGGGCAGTCCCAGGATGGGTGTGGCAGAATGATCCAATCCCACGTGGACATGGAGCAACCAATCCCCAAGCCACCCGCCTCTCGGTGGCCCTGGGGAGGGCACACGTCTCAACCTCCCGCCCCAAGAGGTCGCTTTAAAAGAAGAGGTTCTTTATGGCCACAAGGCCCACAGGACAGGGTGGCTGCTGCTCCTCAAGGGCTCTGCACACCCCGCTCCGCCTCAGGGCTTTTGACCTGCAGAAATGGGAGGGGAATCTACAATAGTCTCCCACAGGAACTGTTTTGAAGACACACTGACATAGTCACCACTTTAGGCCACCTGGAGTCCAGAAACAACTTGAAACTTGCATTTTAAAATCATTTCTTAAATCAGATTCCTTTCATCTGTATTTTACAAAGTCAGTTTTTCATAACCAATCCTTACCTCATCCATTCCAAGCTGACTCCACTTCCCACAGCTTCCAAAACAGTCTTCTACAAATTCAAACTTTGTGGGAAGATGTTTCTCGGCTTGGCTTAAGAGATCAGCTGTAACCCACTTTTTTTGAAGGGGGGAATCTCATTTATTTTGAATATATTTTTATTGATTTCAAAGAGGAGAGGGTGAACATTAATGATGAGAATCATGGATCGGCAGCCTCCTGCACGCCCCCTACTGGGAATTGAGGCCGCAACCCGGGCATGTGCCCTGACCAGGAATCAAACCCGGGACCCTTCAGTCTGCAGGCCGACGCTCTATCCACTGAGCCAAACCAGCTAGGGCTGTAGCCCACTGTTTAAAATGAAGAGCGAGGACCTTGGGTGGATGCTGGGGCTGTGCTGGTTTGGGAACAGCTGGCACAGCCTCTGCAGTGCCCGCTGCCTGAGGCTCAGGGCAGGTAGATGGCGTGTCTGCACCTTCCCAGAGCCTGGCCTGGGACCTGCTATGCACAGAGGAAGAATGTAATGACACTTGTCACTTCTGTGTGACGGTGCTAGCTGCGCCCCTAGAGGCCCCACGCCCCACATCAGCCAGCGTGGCTTCTCCATTGGGGATTCTGTGGAAACCAGCATCCCATGAAAGAGTAACAGGTTTTACTCTGAAAAGAAGTCTGTGGCCAAATAAGTTGCAAAACAGAACGTTAGTTTCTTTCCCACAGGACTTCCCGGAGCTGCCGCTGGACAGCTCTGTGCACCGTGAAATTCAGGCTGTGCAAACTCCCAAATGTGTCTGACCAAAGAATACTGTTGTTTTTTTCCAGAAATATGAACATCTCAAGATTGCACAGAACATATTTTGGAGACTATTACCTTAACCTCTACTATACAAAAGAACAAACAAGTACCCCCCCACTGCAGGCCGCTCTCAGTGCAGGGCTTCAGGCCGGTGCTGTCGGGATTACAAAGCACTGCCCTTCCAGGGGAGGGGGCGATGCTTACTGAGCGCTTTGGCAGCTTCCCTGCCCGGGAAATGATGCCACTTAAATTTCCTTTTTATAACATTACATTTTATAATATTTCATAACAAAATTTTACATAACAAAATTTCTTCCAGCCACAGTTTAATCGTTGGCTTAGTTAGTAACAAGAGTGTAAGGACAAGCAATGTGGTTGGGTGGGCTTCCTCTCTGAAATCTTGCTTCAACCTTTGACATAGAGCCATTCGGAGGTCTGGTTCTAGCTGAGTTCATTTTCATGGCTGTCGGAGCTAATCCAAAGAGAAGCGATGGATGCCACTTGATTTTCAACTGTGCCAGGCACACAGCACCACAGTGTGAACACCTAGCACCAGCCAGGCCTCATGGAGGGTGGTTCAACTTTTTACAAGGTCAGGAATGCAAGGAGGCAGGAGACCCAGAGTGCAATGCCAGGTTGGAGTTGGTTAGGGTGACCAGAGTGGAGAAGCAATGTGGCGTGGGCACCCATCTGTTGGCAGGGCCTTCCGTCCTCAGAGCAGCCTGGAGACCCTTGGCCAGCCTCCCACTTCCCACCCGAGCTGCAAGGGTCCAGGCCAACGAGGGGGAACCACTGTGAGAGCCAATGTCCTCAGTGAGGTCAGCCCGAGGCAGCCTTTGCCTTCTCCCTAGGATTGCAGTCCGTGCCCAGGTTGACCCTTTTCCATGATGCCCGCCACTGCTCTGCGCTGGCGCAGGCAGCAGCACAGCACCGCCCCCACCAGCCGGACGCTCGGTGCTCCTTCCTCTCGGCTCCCTGCTTTGCTCAGGGAATAACGAGACACACTTGCTCATTTCATCTTCTGCTCACCAGCTTTTTGTGGACAAAGACACAATTGTGAATGCTGTTGGGACATCACATGACATGCACCTTCTCAAGATTGACAACCGAGAAGATGAGCTGGTGACCAGAGTCAACTCTTGGTGCACACACTTAGTGGGCAAGGTGAGTGCCTGCAGCGTGGCCAGGGAGGAGCGGGAACTCTGCGGTAAGAAATGAGGAAGTGAAACTGCCGAATTCTCCACTGGAGACTGCAGGTTGCCCAGTCTTGTGCTTCGTCACTTTTCTAACTCTTACCTCAACTACAGGGTGTCCCAGAACGTATGCACTCTAACAGCTGACAGCTCAATTGGTGTTTGTTTCCTTTCGGATTTTACCCACTGGGATGAGGAACGAGTCAGTGTGTACACACTTTTGGGGGAACATCTGCATGTAGATGGGTGAAGCAGAACCCAAGGAGCCGTGGGGTAAATGAGAGACATAACTATGCAAAATTCAAAGAACTACTTTTCTTTCCCCCAAAATGGACTCAGTGAGATATTGATTCTCTGACCCAAGGAAACTGGGCTTTGGTTTCACCCTCAGATTCACAAGGATGAGATCATGAGGAACCGCAAGCGCGTGAAGGAGATCAATCAGTACATCGACCACATGCAGAATGAGCTGGACAACCTCGACAGTGGCGACATTCTAGATTAGGGGTGTCTGCCCAGAGTCCCTCGGAAAACACAGCACTTGGCCCTGCCAGGGGAGAGTGGGGATTCTCAGCCCACAGCCCCAGTGCCATCCATCCTTCCACCACCCCTGCACAAACTCCCAAATGTAGACAAATAAAGGCCCGGTGTCACCGGTTCCCCATTCTTCAGAGAGGTATCAGAATTTCACGTTTGTGTGTGAGCAGCAGTGAGCCCGCTTCCTGAGAGCCATTCCCCAGGGCCTGCCGTGGGCTGTGCTCCTGGCTGTGCGCCACGCCCC